CGCATGTATAATACGTGGTTGGAATAAGGAAAACGTACCTCAGGGCCTCGAAAACCGAGGGAATCGACGGGGGATCCCAAGATTCGCTTGTCGCCGTCCCGCGACAAAGCACGGGCACGAAGGGAACGAAATGAATTATTTTGCACACGCTCACTGAATCTTCGGTCTCGTTCCAGGGAACTGGCTCGTGAACCACGTGATGAAAAACGAGTCAACGTTCGTGCACCCGTACTGTGTAGGTACCACGGCGGTGAGAGTGTAATTACGCGATACGCACACCCTCCGGTCGCCTGCAGACTGACTTTGTACCAGCGGCGGCGGCGGCCGGACGTCGTCGTCTGGTTCGTCTAATACGTTGGATTCGACTTCTGTCGCGCCGCCTAACGGCCGCACGCCTTGGAATTCTCGGTTCCCGGGGCATAGTCGTCGCCTTAAGGCGATCTCTCGCGCGTGCTATCGAAAAACCAACGCTTTCGACTTTGATCCGACGAAAGCGTACGTGACGAACAGGATCGGGTGAAATGTCACTTCGAACGGTGAACAATAACGAGTACGATTCAATGTAAATTGTGCACGGAATTTTGAAAGTGAAATGTACTCGCAACGCCGCGTTCCCGTGGTGGCATTTTACTTCGAACGATACTCGGAGAGCGAATACGTTATTTTTGATTTAGACTAGAATCATTTCGTCCCTGAGCGTGTAGTATGCAATTGTTCGAATCGTATTTGAAATATTTTTCTTTTCAATTTTTAGCCGACGGTTGAACGAGGATACTTGGTAATTAACGTTGCTGTTTGATGGTATGTAAAGGATGGTTTAAACTTATGGGGTTTTCCTCTTTCTCTCTGTATTCTCGTGAACCTAGATGTGGTGTCCACAGGGGGCCCTCGCGCGTTTGTCCCTTTAGTACTGTGTTCTGGGTGCAGAGGGCACGCATTGGATATGGTGTCCATGGACATGGGGTGAGAGGTGAAATGGGAGCAGAGTGGGGGAACGGAGGAGATCAAGTGGAAAAGTTCCTTAAACCGTGGAACTTCGAATAGCGATATTATAATGAGACCTGTGGTAAGTTACTAAAATATTTCCCAAAGCTTTTGATTTACAATGTTCCGTTAATTTCACTGATAAAGAAATTTCGTGTGAACTTAACTGTATTAATTCTTGCTTTCAAAATTACAGCCGTTCGAAGCTCTGAGCAAATAACTCCTGCCGCTGGGGTCTGCGACTCGCAGAGCTGCAAGCGGCAAGAATCATCTAATCAGCGGAAGATGCGGTTAAATGAATTTATAATTCATTCCGCGGATAGTATTCGCGTGAAATTTTTGTCTCGCTTCGCGGTCCCCTGTGGGCAACACGGTTGAAAGTAATCACGAGAAGAGAGAGGCGCAGAGAGAGAGAGTGTCGGGAGACACATTTGAATCGTTAATGCGACTTGCAAAAGGATACATTCCAGCATCTCCTGTATTCCAAAGGTCGAGAGCTCTCCGTGGGTGGAATAACAGGCGACGAACTCTTTGCGGAGATCGTGGAAGTGGTTGTAGTGTTCCGGCAGCTCGATGGCTTTGTTGCAGGCCTCTGGGTGCAGGCATTGTCTTAATGGCGCTTGTCCGTCTACGACGAAACGCGGCGAGGAACCGGACGTCACGCAGGACATGGACGACCACCATGCTTCGAACTTTCGTTAAAAATCAAATTCTTTATGCGTTACTTCCAGCTCAAGCCTCGTGAAAAAGAGAAAAATATTTCTAGTCTAATGAAAGTAAACCCCGAGGCTAACTCTACGTAAGTTAACTCTAAGTAACACTGATTTACCGACAAATTACCGACTCTTCTAAGGTAACTTTAACAATTTCAAAGATAATTATTAAATTGTAACGAACACGCTAACTACTAGAAAAATGGTAGACGGTTCATAATTATTCACATAGGTACATTTGTAATTCAGATAGGACGCGTTTTCCGCTTCTTATTCCGTGAAGTTGATCAGCTTCGCTGGCAAGATGTTCGTACACATTTGATTACCCGAATTTATGAACGTTTATCTACGTTTATATTCGACAGAGGTCGAAAAGTTTCTTATCAGGCGTCATTGAGCGCTTACGATCTCACACATACTCGAAGACGCGTTCGTTTGAATAACTTCGCGTACGTATTGCTTAAACGCTACCGATAAAGGGTAATTACCTGCTCGATGGCCTGCTCTAAGGGGATCCCGTGCTCTCGAACGGTTTTTTCGGTTAACGCAGGCGCATGGGACACCGCCGCCTCGCAGATGTAACCGCTACTTCCGGCGACCGCCGGATTGTCACTCCCAGTTCCAGGCGTGCAGCTTTCGTCCATTACCATTGGCCGCACAATGTACTGTTGCCTTCCCAGCACCTGTAATTGTTATGTCCGTGAATGCGAAAGAGAGCAATTGATTATCGGCGCGTCATCTGTTCACGGAAACCGGTGCACTTCGCTAAATTTATCCTGCTCTCCTCGAACTAATTATACATTCGTTTTAATATTATCGTTCTATTTTTAACGATCCGTCGGTTATCGTTTTCCAAATTTTATATTCCATGAGAGGACAAGATTGTACCGTTCGATTAGCGTCGCTTTATCTACCGGACGTTCTGGTTGTAGGCTTTATCTATTGAATATTTTGGGCCTAGGTAACCCTTAATGTAGCTCCAAGTGAATTCTAAATAATTTCAACATTACACTATATTTTCATATTTTAGCATTCTATTACACCGTCGCTCTCCGTTTTTCCATGTGTAGGTATGCACGTAATTCGTTCCACCACCGTATTACCGATTCCAACTACGCCGACGGCGTGTAATTATTGCAGCTGGTCACGTGTGCCCCCGTAATCCTGCAACGCGACGCGCAGGCAATCGACGCAAATTGGTTGCATGCGTCAGGGGTGAAGCGAACTTTTGTTGTTCGCCGGTTCCCGACGGTCACGGAGTATATTCCGCAAAACTGCAATATCCTCGACGTAACAGGAAGAAATTGCCTGGCGTCGACGTACCGCTGAACAATTGTTAACCCACTCTTCAGTCTTTTTCACCTTTACTCGCAAAACCGGGGACCTGAACCCCAAATCGCTGCAACTCGCGTCACAGTTAAATCTGTACGATTGTATCAACGAAGTAAGCTTCCGCGTAAGGTTGAGATCTCAACCGTTTTAGCGCCAAACGGCGCGATTCCGCTTCTGTCGGTATAGCTTCATTTATTCGTCTTTTTTCTAATTATTTATATTTATTTTTACTATCGCCTGCTTAGAAAACGATCGCACTGTTAGAAGATGACGAAGATGAACATAGAAAAGCGTAATTCAGCTTCTGAAATGAAAGAAACGCGATCACTTAGCACTTCTCGACCAGGTTTTTGTAAAGATACCTAGAATTGAAACGGTTAACAATATATTCCGAAGATTTCTGAAAATCGACGCAACTATACAGCTTAGAACGGAGCACGAGCGGCGTCCTAATGATCGATGTTCGAAGAATCGGGGTTCCACGGTGTCGTGAACATGCTTTGCAATTATTGAGTCGTATAATCGCGACCTAACCCAGACCTAGCCCAGACCCGAGCCCTAAATCACCTTACCACCAAGTCGCTTCGTCTAATAATCGAGTCCCTCGATTAAAATATAGTAGGCTCCGCAGTTATACTACTTTATGATAGTCTAGCGTATTACTACTAGGATTCACCCCTTCGATTAACACTAAACGGTCAAATGACCGGTTCTGAAATTTGATCTAAAATTCTCTGTTTTTCTTCGTTCATTTAACATTAAATCGATCCCTGTATTATCCGATTAATCAGTTTCTCAATGTCTGTCTTCCCATCTGTTTCTGTTTCCAATAAGAAATATTTATCATTTAACTTTTTCGTTTAACACCACAATTTTTAAGAACCTTAATAGTACATAAACGTTTATTCCTGATACTCCGTCGATAACTAAGTTCAAACTTTGGAGCAGTCTGAGTAAAATGAACGACAGGTTCTTCAGATTTTGAAACCTGCTCGGAACGATGCTCCATCTTCTCTTTGGATTACGAACTAGTCCAACCTACTTCTTTTTTCAGATGAACGGTATCAAAGAATGTAGGTTGTAACAGTACTACTACGAGCTGCAATCACGATAATCGGAATCTGTGCGATACATGGAAATAAGTGTGCAAAATACAGGTACATGGACGTGTCGGGCCGAGACACGTCGATGCCAGACGGTGTCGCACAAGAAACTTAATAAGCAGGTTTTCCGACGGGGGGTTAACGGATCAAGGTAGTTCGGTGTGGACAAGAGTGCCACCGTGCGACGGGCATGAATTATCTTTGATAACGTGTCGATAAAATCTCACGGCGTAACCGGTCACCAGATAGTAACCAGCAACTAGCGTGCCATTACGTAAATCTTAATTATTGCTGGATAATTAACCGAGACAACGCGTTGTTCCAACAATACCCGGATCAGTCGCGGGAGTTTTCAAAACCGAGGACCCAGGATTCATTCGCTATCAGCGAAATCACGAAGCTATTCGCCTTCATCGAAATCCATCGGATCAATGCAGTTCTTCTGCAAGATAGAAAAAAAATTGAATGCAACAGAAGATGCACGACGCTCGAGAAGAAAGGCCGAAACAATAATTGAACGTAGGCAAGCGCAAGTATATGCGGAGACGTTTGTGAAAATATAAACACCAATACGGGCGATTGTAAAATTGAATAAATGTAACAGTGTTGCGAATGCGTTTACGACGTAAACGAATATGCTCGTTGACGTCGAGCTGGCAAAAAAGCTAATGAGGATCAATTCACTTTTTATTGGACAATTAGTCAAATGAACTCCTGAACAGGGGAATTGTCTACGTCACCGATTTGTTTTATTGCCGGAAAAACACGCAAATCTGCATACAGATTACCAGTTTGGTAGTGGCAAGAAGGGACTGTGGAAAATTGAATGTCGCCGCCCGTGGGAACGTTGATTATATTACTATTACGAACCATAATGAACCTAGCGAATGCAATGCCCGCTTCGAAATAACACGATCGAGTCATCGATTGACTCCGCAAAACGAAAAATCAGAATATCATTAACCCGTGGGTTTCAAATCGAATTTAACAAGTATAAGTATCACTAAATTCTTCCAACTCCCAATTGAATATTATTTTTCTATCATTAATTGTAATGCTTCTGAGTAAATGTGGACATAGAATAAGTGTAGAATTATTCTCTTTTCCTAATGAATTATGAACAGTAAAGTATCTGTTAAATGCAATTGGGAAAGGAATCATAGAGTAAGGAGTTAAATAATGTAAAGAACCAATTAAATATGTTTAATATCCAACGGGACCGCACAGGGGCAGGATTTTGTTTACGGTTTTTATTAGTCGCGTATAACCGTATCGACGGTTAAAAGCTGACCAATGAGACCCGCATTCCTCAGCCTTGCCATCAAGTCATCTCCCAACTGTAGTTCATTGCTAAATTTCGAAGACATTTAAATAGCGGTTACGTTGACCCGTGAACGACTGATCCTAAAGCCGAACGCTCGTTCGACGGCCGCGAGCCGCCATTGAAACGGCCGATAAAACTTCAACGTCCACGGCGAACGGGACGCCATTCTCGAACGCCGTGGATCGCAATGATCACTTTCGAGCCTGCAGAAGTGAATGATGCCAGGACAACATTGTTGTGCACCCCGGAACGGTCGTGTCGGTCTATTATTTTTACGCGTCGTGGGCCAGTGTTTACCGTGGTCGATCCTCCCGAGAAACGATTTACGACACGGAAAAGTACACCGATATCTCCTTCGTCCTCTGACCGAGGGCCAGGTAAACGATCGCAGCTCCGGATATACCTGTCTCACCTGAATTCTACTCTCTCCTTTGGCGAAGAGCGGTGGCGTGGAGGATCATAAACCGCTTCTGCATGATACTCCCGAAGGAAGAAGGAGGAGCACGGTAAAACCGAAAGGGTGTCGTAAATTTCTGCGGCGAAAGGGAAGCCCGCTCATTTTTCCCGCAATAATAAGAGGAAATGAGAAAAAGGTACAAAGGAGGTCGCGTATTTATCCACACGCGCGCATCATCCTCTATACTTAATCCTTTCATCTTCTTCATTGTTCGCTGCCGCTTTTTCTTCCAATTTTCAGTTTAACATTCACGTTAACAGCGTCGTTCTTTTTTTTCCATTTTCTTCGCAATTAGAGACGAATAAAAACAATGTGCGACGATATAATTGATTACCTAGTTAACTGCGTTCGACGAGTCTACGCGTCATCTTAAAGCTTGAAATGACATAACTCTTTCAACGATGAATTATTTATTTTTCCAGATAAGCATATAGGTCTTCCTTGGTTTGCTTTAGTTTTTCATGAACATATATCTCAGGTGCACTCGCCTTGCGTTTGACGAGTACACGCTTCATTTTTTGATTTTGTTACGCGCAGAACGTGAGATTTTTCAAACTAAGTTCCACAGTTAACAGATTGAACTGCGCGAAAAATCGGGGAATCTTCCTGTCGAAACAAACAAGATCGCACGCGTAGGATAATTAAAACCGACCGAAAGAGACAGCGCGAGAATGACGGTCAGCTAACTCGTTTTTCCCGGTCGATGGGGTCGAAAGAAGAAATGACGACTTCAATAGTGTGATTTATCATTTACAATTTCGTCTAAAACGGAGAAAAGTATACTTCTTGAAATGTGAAGCGAATTTTGTATTTACAAAACACACGAATTCGCTTGACAATTTTTCACGACAGCGTTTTCATCGTTTCAAGAATTGAACATGAAAATTTTTGAACGGGTCATTTTGAACTTGGTAGTGCCATCGTTAAGGTGTCACGTGAATACCGACGACAACGACGAGCTGAACGTAAAACGCGCCGGCCGAGCTCATAAATTGCAAATCGAAGTCGGATCACAAATACAGAGACCAACTGGTGACCAAGAGAACGCGATAGCCGCCGCCACGTCGTGAAGGCAGAGGCGGGTGCGTGCGTGCGCGGCGGGCGATGCGGGAACGAAAGGGGGACAAAGGTCGCGAGTTACGTCTCTCGCACGGGAACTCGGTTGCCCCCGTCAGAGGACGACGATGAACGGTGCCACAGGAAAACATGGCGAATTCCTTTTAACCTTTAACAACACGACCATCCCGTTTCCCTAAAACCGAACGAAACTTCTCGCGTTTCGAATTAATCAACAGCGGGTAAATGAATTGAATTCATACTTTGGACTCGTGGGAACTCGATTATCCATTTGGAAGCTTCGTAAGATTATTCCACTTGCTACCAGCATTTCTTTCAACAATGTTCAATGTAATTTACGCTTTTCTACACGAGATATGAAACACTGATCGTCGCAAATATGCGTCGCTG